GAGAAGAGAAGAGAAGAGAAGAGAAGAGAAGAGAAGAGAAGAGAAGAGAAGAGAAGAGAAGAGAAGAGAAGAGAATTGAATTCTGCTAATAAGCTGTTTTAAATTCTAAGCCCACTTCCTGGTCCTTCCAGATTACCTTGTACAATGCAACTAATAATGACATGAAAATGCAACTAAATAAAATCTGACTCAAGTAAAGCAAAATATCTGAGATTTGAAAGTACTGCCTCAGTTTCTAAGGACCCCTCAATACTAAAAAACAGGGAACCAATATTGTTTTGGCTCATACACTATGATAGAAAAATGATAATCATAAGACTAGTAAAAATATACTAGCAAGAAAATATCCCAATGAAAAAGCATTGGCTACCTTTAAGGCATTTACTCCTCTTTTCACTCCTTTATTCATAAAGGGGGAAAAATCCTTCAATGAAAAAGCATTGGCTACCTTTAAGGCATTTACTCTTCTTTTTACTCATTTATTCATAAAGGGGAAAAATTCCTTCAATGAAAAACCATTGACTACCTTTAAGGCATTTACTCTTCTTTTTACTCCTTTATTCATAAAGGGGGAAAAATCCTTCAATGTTTTGACTATTGGTCTTCCTCCAAAAGAGTCTTTAAAGAAACACAGAACTGAATCCAAAGACAAACAGGATTTCCTACTGCATATTTCCACAACAATGCAATTCCTTTAAATGCTGCTCATAAGAAAACCCTGCTCTTAACTTTATTCACAGATATTGTATTTAAACCAAAATTCAACTTTCTAATCCTATTTTATATACAATCGTAACATCTAGCTCTTAATTTCTAATTAGCTTGCTCATGGCTTGAAGACATACCAGGAAAAAAGTGTCACAGCTAAACTGTCTCTTCCTTCATCAGAGTCTACACACTAGTAACATTACACTTCATCCACAGACGGGCGCTCACTGAGTTTTCAGTAATATACAAGCGACAAGAAGCAGTGAAAACAGACAAGAGAAAGAAAAAATGGTAACATGACTCACGCTGGTCTCCCAACATGAAGCAGTTAACAGGAGAAAGTTTACAGACCTCCTTCGATGGCAGGCACAGTACAGAGCCACTGGGCTGTACTATGAAATATGGGGTGGGGCTAGTGACAAGAGGGAAACGAGAACACTTACTCAGTCAGAAGCTGGTGGAGCTTGTGATAACCTCGTTCCAGGGCCAGGCTTACAGGCGTTGCCCCTTCCTTGTTGTGGATGCTGAGAGCTCCACGGCCACCTGGCTTCTGTAACAGGAACCATGTCAACCGCAGTAGTCCAAGCCGCACAGCAAAATGCATAAGCGTTTCCCGGGGGCCATCATCTGTGAATGGGAAAGAACATGGAAATAGAAAAATATAACAATAACCAACCGCAAAGACCAAAAACCCCACAACAATAGAAAAGACAAGTTTAGGTAGACAACATTGCCTCCAAGCCTCTAGGATCTTGAAAGTAAATTGTAACATACAGCAAACAACTGTATTACAGGTAAAATCGCCATTTAAGTAAAGACAAAATAAAGCTGGAAAAAAATTATGATGCAAATTCTTCAATAGGAAACAAATACCTAAGAGACCGGAGCCATTTCTGTACTTTTTCAGAGAGGTTGATAAAGGTGACTACATTATGCTCCTTCCATTAAAAAAAAAAAAAAAAAAAAAATAATAGAAGTAAATGTGGTTCCTTCCATACGATGGGGATCTACGGTGAACAGTTGTCAGGACTTAAGATGGGTATATCCTTAAGGGTATAATTACTTTCTAAAGAATGCTCAGACAGGAGTTGGCTAGTTAAACACTAAAAACAGGTTAGACTTGTTAAGTACACACAGGTCTTTAGTCCCTCACACTAAGGGCATATCAAATTGCTGGCACGACTAGCTTTGTGTTGGCTTAACAAGGAAACGAAATGAATCTTCAGGTACAATGAGATGAACTGTAAGACTACACTAATTACTTCAGAAGAGAAACCATGTGCTTGGTTTTATTTCCCTTGAAATAAAGGGTCCTTCTTGGCATACTGAGTCATTAAGAATCCTACCTAGGTAGGATGAGAAAGGGCTTCAGTTCAGACAAAAGTAGGTTCAGGCCTGGCCTTATATCAGAGTGGCTAGGCACGATTCATTTGCCTCTCTGAGCTTCACTTTCATATCCCTGGAGCACAACACCATCACCTCACTCAGAGGTGTCATACTAGAGAGGGGTAGATGAAACGTTAGACTAATGACTGGCTGTAGGGTTCTCATTAGGGTTCTCCCTTTCCCCGCTTCTGGCCCTGTTCTTCAGATTAAGTGTTAACTTGATGAGCAGCACTCTTTTCCTGGCTCATCCTTGTCTGTGAGAACAGGTGCAAAGCATCCTCAGACTTCTTGGATGAACCCCAATGGTTTCCTTTTCTCTGAGATGTTCAGATGTTTAGATATGTGAATATCCCAAGAGGAATGAACACATCTTTGAAGATGTGACTTTACAAAAGATGTGCAATACAAAAGTGCAATTTTTTTTTTTTATAAACAATTTTTAAAAGACTTAGTTTCTCTGGGGCTGGGGACTTTTCATGTGAGTACAGTGCCTCAGAAGAGGGAGGTGAATCCCCTGGAACTGCAGTTACAGGCAGCTGTGAGCTACTTGCCTTGAGTGCTGGAAACTGAACTCAGGTCCTCTATGAGCTCTTAACACTGAGACATCTATCTGTCTAGTCCAAAATACACTATTTCCAAATATCACTTGTGTTACTTTATAACCAACACAAATTTCATTCAAAGCAAATTGGTCTGCAAATTTCATGACTTCTTTGTTTTTAATTGCTGAGTAGTATTCCATTGTGTAAATGTACCACAATTTCTGTATTCATTCCTCAACTGAGGGGCTCCTGGGTTGTTTCCAGCTTCTGGCTATTACAAATAAAGTTGCTACAAACATGGTTGAGCAAATGTCCTTCCTGTACATTTGAGGATCTTTTGGATATATATCTAGGAGTGGTATAGCTAGATCTTGAGGTAGGAAATCATGAAATTTGCAGGCAAATAGTGGGAACTAGAAAAGATCATCCTGAGTGAGGTATTCTAGAAGCAGAAAGATACACAGGGTATATACTCACTCATAAGTAGATATTAGACATATAATATAGGATAAACATACTAAAATCTGTACACCTAAAGCAACTAATCAAAAAGGACGACTCTGGGTAAGATGCTCAATCCTCATTCAGAAAGGCAAAGAGGATGGACATCAGAAGAGGGAGAAAACAGGCAACAGGGCAGAAGCCCACCACAGAGGGCCTCTGAAAGACTCTACCCTGCAGGGTATCAAAGCAGATGCTGAGACTCATAGCTAAACTTTGGGCAGAGTGCAGAATCTTATGAAAGAAGTGGGAAATAGTAAGACCTGGAGAGGACAGGAGCGCCACAAGGAGAGCAACAGAACCAAAAAATCTGGGCACAGGGTCTTTCCTGAGACTGATACTCCAACCAAGGACCATTCATGGAGATAACCTAGAACCCCTGCACAGATGTAGCCCATGGCAGTTCAGTGTCCAAGCAGGTTCCATAGTAATGGGGAAAGGGACTGTCTCTGACATGAACTGATTGGCCTGCTCTTTGATCACCCTCCCTCCCCCGCCTCAGGGCGCTGGACCCTTAACAGGCCACAGAGGAAGACAATGCAGCCACTCCTGATGAGACCTGATAGACTAGGATCAGAAGGAAGGGGAGAAAGACCTTCCCTATCAGTGGACTGGTGGAGGGGCATGGGTGGAGAAGAGGGAGGAAAGGTGGGATTGGAAGGGAAGGAGGGGGAAGTTACAGGGGGGATACAAAGTGAATAAATTATAATTAATAAAAATCAAAAATTAAAAAAAAAGCAAATTGGTCTTTGATATTTTTTCCTCTCCCACAACTATTTATACACGAATCAAATCAGAATCTGCTGTGTGCTTGAAAAGGGACAGGGACTGAGATCAATGCTTCAGAGACTGGGAAAAACAGCTCAGGAATAGAATGCTTGCTGAGCATACATAAGTGCTAATACTCACTCCTCTTAAGAACTGAACCCCACTCCCACAAAAACCCACAGAAAGTAATGTCCTTGAAGAAATAATTACGTCTCCAAGCATAAATTTTAATAAACACATCCTCTGAGAAAATTGCAACTCCAGGTGAAAAGGCAGAAGGAACACTGAATTGTTTTTATACCTCTCACAAACATTCTGACCATCTTATCAAAACACCAAAGTACTAAGTACTTAGAGACCAGGAAATATGTGGGTATTTTTTTTTCAGAGCTGATTCATTCCAGCCTTATCAGGTAATATCTCCGCAAAGCAGCTTTCTTTCCAGCCTCCACTCTTCCATTTACCTTTGTTCTGAGTCATCATAAGGCCAAGTGCAAATTATGTCATTTCTCTTTCCAGCTCCACTATCCCCACCTTTTTTTTTTTTTTTTTTCATACAGGGTTTCTCTGTCTGGGACTTGATTTGTAGACCGGGCTAGCCTCAAACTCACAATTCACCTGCCTCTGCCTCCTCAAGTGCTCGGATTACAGAAATGTGGCACTGTGCCCAGCATTATCTATTACCATTTAAAAACCATGTAACTTGAAATAATGATGCAAATATTAAGTCCTATAATAAATGTTCTCCTATCAATGTATTTGCTTCATCAACTATCTTTCCTTCCAGATATTCATCAATCCATCTTACTTTTTACAAATTTCAAAGGAAGATGGAGATATCAGACTAACTTGATGGATGTACCAACTAGAATTCAATACATGGCTATAAGTTTAAATGACTAACACACAGGAAAACACAAGTATAACACTTCATTTTTTTTAACTTTTATTAATTACACTTTATTCATTTTGTATCCCCCCATAAGCCCCTCCCTCCTCCCCTACCAGTCCCACCCTCTCCCCCCCCCTTTCTGCATACATGCCCCTCCCCAAGTCCACTGATAGGGGAGGTCCTCCTCTCCTTATTTCTGATCTTAGTCTATCAGTTCTCATCAGAAGTGGCTGCATTGTCAGGGTTCTAGGTTATCTCCACGGATAGTCCTTGGTTGGAGTATGAGTCTCTGGGGAGTTCCCTGTGTTCAAATTATCTTGTTCTGTTGCTCTCCTTGTGGAGTTCCTGTCCTCTCCAGCTCTTACTATTTCCCACTTCTTACATAAAATTCCATTCACTCTGCCCGTCAGTTGGCCATCAGGCTCAGCATCTGCTTTGACAGTCTGCACGGCAGAGGCTTTCAGAGGCCTGTTTTGGGTTAGGGTTTCATTACTAGAGCCAATCACTGCCAATCATTTTTCATGGTTTTCGCTTATTCAAAAAGTCCATGTAAATGAAACAATATAGTAAATGTTCTTGTATAAGGCTACTTTCATTCTTCCTGACATTTTCCATACAATTGCCATGTGGCATTCCATCTTATTGCTTAGTACATCCATCTCATACATATATCTCAGAATATGCCACCTATTCTTTGTTAGTTTATGAACTAGGTTAAAAAAAAAAGGAAGAGGCAAAAGGAGAAAAGGATTAAAATATAAATGGAGTTTCACCTAGGCTGTTTTGCTATAACAGCACTAAGAGTTGAGACCTTACTCTCTACCTCTTAGATCGCTTCTCCTCCTTTCCTCTCAAGTTTAACTGCAAAGCCCAAATAACCCACAATCAATTTCCATCTGCTATGATTCCCTGACCCATGATTTCTGCCTGTGGGCATGGTGACGAGGGAGCTCCAGTCGCCTTCCTGTCTCCAAACCCTAATACTAGTGTTAGAGATGTGAGCTACCACACTCAGCTTTTCACCAGGTGTTGGGATCCAAACTCAGAGTGCCATGCTTGTGCAGCACTGGTTATACCCCAAGTCACCTTCTCAGCCCACAGCTATGGTTTTAGGTTGCTAGCTAGATTTCTTACAATGTCATTTGGGTCCTTCCTCAAAATAGGAACTTATTATATCAAGGAAATCAGAATGTTCTTGTAGTATTTCCACCAACTCCTTCCTCATCTTTGCCCCCTCCCCCAGCTGTTGCTCTTGCAGGCACACTTAGGGCCCCGAACAGTTATTTCGTATGACCATATTGTTGTCTCCTTTTTAATCGTTGTGTTAATTATTTCTCCCAAAGTCGTGATCAAATACCCAACAGAAACAACAAAGGAAGGCAGGCTTACTTTGGCCTGTGGTAGTAGAAGTTCCACCCAATCACACACAGCAGGAGAAAAAGCAATGTGAGAATGTAGCCAAGGCTTATGCTCATGGTGGTACACAGAGCAGCAGTCAGACCTGGGCTGGAACCAGAAGCAGATATCACCTCCAACTG